ATGCAGTCCCAGAGGACACAGTTTCTTGAAGCGTTTTCCATTTCCTCTCATGAGTTTATACAAAGTGACCTCCAAGTGGCTGTAAGGATCTGTGATCCACAGCGCGCGCGATGAATCGATTTCCGCGAGATCTGACCATGAGGCTCTCGTCTCTCAGCTAATCCGTCCATGGTCGCCTCGCTGGCCAGCATGCCCTGAACGATGAATTTTCGAGTATTCGTGAGAATTCGGCTAAATAGATGGGGAAGTGCGAAATTCATCAAGACCCGTTAAATTGCTGGGGGAAACACTCGCCGGTTGCAGAAGAACCCAATCGTTGAGGAATGAGAATGTTCTCATTCAGGTCTTCCTGTCTTCCGATGCCAACTTGAGGGCCTTTCCAACGAGTGCTCCCTGGCCTCAACGGCACCTGGCGTCTGACTGACTCACTGGCTGACTGACTCTAAAAAACGTTCACAGAAATATCCGATGAAGTATGCTGGGATGATGAGATCAAATCAAGATCTGACCGCGGTCACTTACACTGAGTCTAGCTTCTCTTCTTCGCCAGCTTAATTAAAAGTCTCGTTCCCCAGCCGACCATCTGCGTTGTTTCCCATCAATCGAATCTTATCGGCTCAGGATCCAATAATTTTCCTCATGGTTTCTCCCTTTGAGACGGTCTCAGCGAGGGGAGTGACGGAGCCGATAGAGGTCTTCGATTTCCTTCCTTCTCCAGATCTCGCGTCCGCATAGGCGCGATTCCGACGTTGATCCGAGAGGGTTTGGAACTCGTTACATGCCAACTGATTTTGAAAACAACTTCCCGCGATCTCGACCCACAGCATGGAGCGGCGGGTCAGCAAGCGAGAAAGCGGATAGACAGCTAATGAATACGTTGATGGAATGACGGGGAGTCTCCGTCGACGCCAAAACTCAACATGGGGAGACGTTGTACCGCCGACATGGCTTCCCCAGAGGCGGATCGAAATCGAGGCTCCTACAGACCAGGAGAACCTGAGGGAATATCGAAACTTTCGCGAATTCTGCTGAGTGAGTCCTGCATTCGTCTTCAGCAGACCAGGGCTGTTGTCTCAACTCGGTCCTCTTGTGAAAAATTCACCGACATCCTCCCATACCCAATTCAGCTCCCTCTTACCTGTTCTTAGAAGGAAAGGAATTGAACATCACTAAAGAGGCTCGGCGCGAGCAAGCCATTTGATCGACTCTTCCTGGCCTCAAAACCGCGCGCGGTCCCATGCTGAATCCCAAGCAGGATTCTGCGGAACGCTCTAATAGATCCGTGAAAATTCACGCTCCGTATTCAAAGTCCAGCTGTCTACCTAACAGTTTGAATAGAAACGGAACCACCTCCTGTTTTCCCGGACCGTGAACGCATGCTCATCTGGCTTTGTAATTCTCGCCGAACTCGTCCCTTATCCCTTCACCGCAGCACAATCGAGTATACACTGCGCATACCAAAAAGTCGACCCAGCAATTAGTGTACAGGACGATCGTGATCGACTTCATTCCACTAACTTCGTGATACACATACCTACAACACGACGCTCAGTCTACAGGGGAATTCTGCGAGAGGACAGTTTACAAAGAAAACTCCACATGTGAAATCATGGATATCCGTTTATTTTCTCATTCATTCAAAATGGAATCAACGGGGATCATCCGAGTCGTCCATCGACGCGGAAAGCGTCGGAGTCCTGCGAAATCCACGGCGACCATGCACTGAAGAATACTCACCCATGAACTTACCATTCAACCTGCGAGGATAAAGGAGGGATTAGTTCGTTTCATCAATCAATAGTTTCATCGCAGCGTCCCCTTTCAATAATAAGATCATTAAGGAATGAATACCCCCCCCTTCCCGCGCGTGTGGTACAGCAGTTTTTCCATCAATTTAGCCCAGCGTTGCATCGCTCTCGTTATCGAGGCATGTACTCTAAAATCTTCGTGCTCATACGATCCTTGTTGACCCTCCCATGAGGTATCGCATGCAAATATATCACTGCGCATCTATGGACTCGTTGCGAAGTCTGTCGATTCTCGCCTCGAATACGCTCAGATTCTCAACGTCGTGTATCGGGGGGACCACGATCGGTTCACCGATTCCCGATCGTTGCTCCTCAACGGAGTCGGTCACGTGGTAATCGGGTCTCAATCCGAATTAGGTAGATCTGATCTGATCTCGAGTTCCCTCCCGGGTCAACACGTCAACTTCGCGTCGAATGATTGACTGTCCGATTTTTCCTCGAGTTTCAAGGTGATCTAAGGCACGAAAGCTGACGCATTCACAGGTGGCCGCTCGCGGCTCTCTTGGAATCTCGACGTCTACAAATGGGTCTTATGAGTTCCCCTTCATTGCTTCGATGGCGTAGAGACCCTCATCTCAGAGCTCAGGCATCGGGTGACGACGTTTGAAGTCGCGGCTCATTCCGAATCATGATCATGATTGGACATCTGTTTCACTTGGATCTGTGTAACACGAGATGGCCGGCTCGCTTCCGAGACTTCGGCTCCACTCGAATATCGAGAGACCATCGCAAGTGCGATCTTCAACGATCTTGCGCAGCTTCGATGCCCCCGATCCGCTGCTGCAGCGAATTTCGTTCGAATACCACCCATACGCATCGAGTTTTTGCACGCTTTCCTTCACCGAGGAAGCATGTTCGAAAGTTTTGCTCCAGTGTTCTCTCGTCAACTCGGGACCCTGCCTGAGGTACGCTTCTGCCCTATGAATTTCGAGCTTGTCAACGGCACAAACGTCATGTGCGCTTTCACACTTACCTTCGAGAAAGTTCGAGTGACAGAACAGAACTTTTGTCCCATGTAGTGGGTGCGTTATCTCTTCTGGTAAGCTCGAAGATTCACGTCTGGTTTTGCATCTGAATTTTGCAGCTGGATTTCGTTTCTCGGTCGAGACGCATTGAGTTGATCAACTGACTGACTGATTGATGGACTAACCCACCAACCAAGCGGAGGTTTCATCCGTCATTGAAATCAGTGTGCGGCACTTGACGCGGTAAGCAATAGCAACCTCATGATCGGCGTGGATCACGATCGCACATTCTGACGGATCCGACTTCGCAATCGCGTTTCGTTTTCGAGAGCCGGCGTCCATGATCGCTCACTGTAAGCAAGTTCGACCCCATCCATCGCCCATCGTCGTTGGGTTCTATCTACCCCAGCCCGAGGGAATCAATTAGTAGTACCTCGCCCGTGTTAGTGCTCTTGATATGCCGAGGGTTGTCAGTCGGTCGCATGGCTGTAATGTAGCCGCCTCGCTCATGGTTTTTCCGCGCAAGGCATCGTGCAGGATACTATGCTGCATTTCCGAGTCTGATCGACCCGCATCTTGATCGAGCTTTCCGAGCGTCGATTTCTCAGATCACTTTTCACCTACGCTATCAAGCGCTCCCCTGATCCGTTGAGTTGGGAATTCGTCACGATAAGCGTTTCAAAACTTCGGACTTCGGACTTCCCGCGAGGATCTCTGATCTCGCATCCCAAGCTCAGATGTCAATCGGCGTCATTCTAGCTGAGGATACGGTGGATCTCCTCAAAAGGCGACCCCCATTCTCGCTACAGTATCCGTGGCCACCCAAATTCTCACGGCTGGACTCGTAGCAGAAAAAATTCGGGGAAAACCTTGATTACACTTCCATGTAGTTTCCAAGTAGCTCTCGGGAAAATGCTCAACGACCTGGAGGGAAAGAGCCCGTAGCCCATCCCGAGCTGCAGCCCACAGCAACCCGTGCCTCTACTGACTTAAGGCGGCTCGCGGACCACTTGTCCGCGGGAGATAATAGTCCGCCCTCCCGACGTTTCGGGGATGTGACACAAGTCCGAGATGCGTATTGCACAGCTCAGTCAGTGGCGTGCCCAGAAGGGACCTGTCGAGGGCCCCTTCAGAGTTTCCACGTCCGAATGTCGAGATAGAGGCCCCCGGAAGGTGCCTCGTCATCTCGAGCCCTCGCCTTTCTCTAAAATTTGACTTGGCCCCTCCATGAGGGAATCCTGGGCTCGTCCCTGGCAGTTATCACGATTCTCATTTTACAGCTCGAGCTCTTTCCTCGAGGCTCTCTCGGCCGTCTTCCGGATCCAGAATGCCATTCGACTTCGTGTATCCCTGAAGGCTCGGCCCACAGTTTTCCCCATGTCCGTTCATGTTCTGTGTCTCGTCCAGAACGAGTCGTCAATCGTAGGACATTCTGGTCCACACTTCAGTCACTGACATGCTTTGGGGAGATGACGCTCAAAGCTTTCCGTCCGATCCCCTCTCGCCGTCGGCTGTGACGTAAAGCGAGGACGTTTCCAAGCGCGAGATACGTACGCCACTGACAACCCCGGTAAATCGTACAACAGACTGAACGATTTCAATCAACGAGCGTAGAGTATGTACCTAGGAGAAGGAGTCGACTGAGCGACAACTTCGACCGGTCTGCTCTCCCATGAAGAATGAACTCACTGATTGTAGGGTCTACCGTTATGAGGGCTGATCCGGTTTTTATTCATGTTTTCAGCTTTTTTTGATGGGTTGATGGTAGATGCAAATACAGGCGTAATTTCCTTGTCACAATGAAGAAAGTCGTTCTTGAAAAATCAAGGACTCGTCTCGGCTTAAGGTAATGATAGGTTGGAGCGTAGGCTTTTCGGTTGTAGGATAGATGGGTTGAATACTCCGATAGAGACACTGAGAGCTACGATGCTGCACTTGCGACGTTGCTGCAAAAGTGTGGACGCTCGTCGAGCGGTCGCGACTGTCTTCTTCCTACGTGTCAGCTTTCGTTTCGACGTGTTTTGTACATGTGATTATTTTTTTCGTGATTTCCGTGAACCAAAAAAAAGAAATTTGCGAAGTCAGTCGCATTTGTTTTCATCCACCGATGGTCTCGGGATGAGAAAGGACTGCTCAGTTCCAAATATTGGCAGAGGAAATCAAGCTTTCGACGGACACGCTTAATAAGAATTGAAGGGAGGCTAAGAATTCACGAGACATGCCGTCTCTAGTAAGGCTGTCTTTGAGGGTAGTTGTTGTACCCTTGGCTCCTATTCTGTCCGGACCTTTGGTCGTAAGAGTTATATCCTCCCTGAGGTCCCTGGTTGTAACCTGCGTTGCAGAAAGTAACAAATATTCCGTTAGACGCGTTTCCCCATCGTTCCTTACGCGCGCTGCCCCCACCGAACAGGAGCGAGGTCTTTTCACAAGAACACTCCGCTTCCGTCTCCTCGCAAAGCTCATCGGTTTGCCATTCTCCATTTTTCTGCGGGCTCCGCCGACCTAACAAACGGCGTGACGGTCAAGAGGGGGAGCAGAATACCCATGACAAGGCGGGCGAACCTTTCACGACCCTCGCCATGTAGAGTATTTGCGTTCCATCAATATTAGCGTCGGTTCCCCCCCCCCGAACTGTATGTCTCGGAATCCGAGACTCGGATAGATTTCTCCACCAGGCAGACTTGGAATATACCGGAAGAATGATTCAGGAATATAGGCAAAGCTGAAAGGGTTGGCTCAATTGATACGGCTTTCCATGGCGGTCGGTTCCTCAGGAGTCATTCAGGATCATCGTACTCGACTACCTGTGATTTCACGCGAGCTCGACGTATCAGATGCACTGCAGCAATCCAATTCGAGCTAGCTCTGAACTCCCCTCGTCTCGACGCGATTCGTACACTCATGTCTCACTGCTGCGTGGGTCGGAGTCGTGTGCGACTCCCACCCACGGATTGACCGTCCATCATCTTCCCCTGATCGGGCCATTTGGAGTAGCATATCCTGGGAAGAGGCATTCTGACCTGGGCCTCAATGCAGGCACTTGAAAATCAGCGGTCGCTGATCCCCACAAAGCACTTTTTCTACCGTTGACCGTAATTCTTTGCCCTATGGTTCCGAGATCGGGAGCTATGTCCCGACTCTCCGCGATCATGTCTATCTGTGTAACCGTTTCTCGAGTCTGATTCTGGATTTTCATTCCATGTCCGCGACCGTGAATTTCACCGAGTGATTCGTTGGAGCCATAATTTATCGACATCGACAAGACTTCCTCGAAGTTTCGGGCATCGTGGCTCATCGATGCTCTTCGATATCATGCATTGACTTGAAAGGGTAGATCACTCAGTCGCTGTCTTCTCAAAATCCGAATTTCAGTAGCGCTCAAACAAATCGCGGCATATCGTGCATCATACCTGAGAGTAATTATCTCGACTCTCGCGCTCTCAACCTTGATATCTAGCGAGTCCAAGGCTCGCAGCCCGCTCGTTCGGTAGAACCCCCGGTTTCTACAATCTACTTTCTCGATAGAGCATCGCGGAAGAATCTACCGAAGATGGCTCGGTCTTCCGACGATGACGATCATTTACAAGGGCAATTTGAGCCCATTAGAGGAATTCCAGAATTTCTCGACTCGACCCCCAATCTCAGCGATAGGAACCCTCTCCTACAGGATTAGTGCTTCGCTCCAATGGGGAGGCTAGGCTCTGCTGCCCCATGGCTTCGGGGTTGGGACTGCGCTCAGACACCGATACCGACTCTGCGAGGTCAACCTAGTCACGCGCCAAGGTCCACCCCGGGGGTTTAGATGCATCGTTCAATCGCGGAGAATACATCCCGAGTATGCTTCGTGAAATGATTTACCCCTCCCCCATTTTTCGGATGTCTAGAGTGAATTGCTCCGGGAGTCGATCGTCGCGACGCAATTCATTCTGTCTGGGCAGGTCTTCTACGTCTGCTGATGTCTCGCACACCAAGACCTCTTGAGAGGATCAGCTTGAGGTGGGTCCTGAGATGAATGCCTCGGCTCACTCATCGGACCTCCCACGTCGTTGCTTTCGAGGGTGCTCGCGTCATGTCATCGCTGGAGGGGTGATCGAGCTCGACGCGCCTTGATGTGCAAGAGCTTACTGGAGCTCTCCTTTAAAAATCGCTTGGGTGTCCCTAGACTGGGATGAGCACGTCGGACCCTATTCGCTGCTCGAGCGATGGACTCGCGATGATTTTCCGCATCATTCCTCTCATTCCCTCTCCATATATGCATAACGGTGATTTATCCGAGACTTTCCCGCTCCTCGCTACCAAACCGCCACAGCCTCGACCATGTCCCTTTCAGCTTGCAATTGATGGGGTGTCGATCTCCCACCATTCTAGATTCTAGAGCATACACCATTCGGAGCGATTCATAATCCGTTGCCGGAATGGACAGAGACCCGATTAAGATTTGTTCACAATTATCCTCCCCCGAGCCCATTAGTTCTGTACTTACCGTAGTCTCCACCCGCTTGCTGTCGGTAGTTGTCCTTGGGTCCGTAGCCTTGGTCAAAGCTGCCTCCGTTGTCGTATCCGACGTCATTATTGGACTGATAGTTGCCGTTGTAACCGTTGTCCTGATATCTACGGAATAGTTGAAATGAAGCGGTTAGCAACGACGAGGTGTTCGAATCTTCCAGTGGGAATATTGACAGGAGTGCGAATTTCCGATCTCGTTCTCCCGAGGAGTTGCTCACCCGTATCTCTTGTTGTCCCCTCGGTAACCATTTGTTTGATAGTCACCGTTCTGATAACCAGAATCGTTCAGGACGTCGTAGTCACCGTTCTGATCGAGATCATCATTGTATCGTGTTTGTTCGTTCTGATAAACGTTAGTCTGCTGATTTTCCCAGCGAGCCCTTTTGGTCTGAGGTCCGAGGTCCTCGCGCACAACCTGAGCATTTCCACGTCGGCCTTGCTGTTGTTGTGGCTGCTGTTGTTGTTGGATCTGTTGTTGTTGTTGACCTCTCTGATTCTGACCTGGGCCTCGTTGTGGAGCACCGGGTCCTCTCTGAGGACCGCCTGGGCCTCGCTGAAGTGCCCCGGGTCCAGCGCGCAGAGGAGCTCCCGGTCCAGTTCGCAGAGGAGCTCCTTGTCCAGATCGCGGTGGTCCTCCTGGTCCAACACGCAGAGGAGCTCCCGGTCCTTGGCGGAGCGGACCCCCTGGTCCAGCACGGGGAGGGCCTCCAGGTCCGGCTCGGAGTGGTCCTGGGCCTCCTGGACCACCAGGGCCGCTTCGGAGTGGTCCTGGTCCTCCAGGTCCTCGCATTGGGCCGGGTGCGGCCAATCCACCGGGGCCGCCGCGAAGCGCGCCCGGTCCTCCTGGTCCCGCTCTTGCCAGTACTGGTCCCCCAGGTCCGCTCCTCAGGGGTGCAGGTCCTCCTAGCCCTCCGTTTCTCGCAGGTCCAGGTCCTCCCGGTCCGTTCCTGATCGGTCCTGGTCCTCCAGGTCCGTTTCTGATAGGTCCGGGTCCTCCTGGTCCGTTCCTTGCAAGCACAGGGCCGCTAGGTCCATTTCTCGCAAGAACAGGGCCACCGGGTCCATTTCTGGCGGGCCCCGGTCCACCGGGTCCGTTCCTTGCTGGTCCTGGACCGCCAGGTCCGTTCCTAGCCGGTCCAGGTCCGCCCGGTCCTCGCATCGGTCCACCGGGTCCTCGCATGGGTCCACCGGGTCCGCCAGCTAGGCCTGGTCCGCCGGGTCCGGCTCTCATGACTGCGGGGGGTCCTCGCATGGGGCCTCCGGGTCCTCGCATCGGGGGACCACCGGGTCCTTGCTGAAGAGGACCACCGGGACCGCCTCTGGCGGGAAGTCCTCTCATCGGTCCGGGAGGGCCCATTCTTCCGGGGGGTCCGGCACGTCCGGAGCGTCCACCGCGAGGTCCTGCGCGTACTCGTCCGCCTTCCATTTCTTGAAGTTATATTACTTCGATTCACAAATTCTGAAACTTCATGAACACCGAAACTTAGAATACATCACTCTCCTGAACGGAGCTAGGGATCCCCCTTTCGGCTTCCCGGCTTTTATCGAGAGGTCGACTTCCTATCGTCATTCAATGTCGCGGGAGTCTGCACCCCCCATGATTCTGGACAAGAACGACGCACAGTCGAACTCAGAGGCTGGATCTGCGTGAATCATTCCGCGGTGTTTCTATCTCTGACATGAGCCTGTTCCGAGAAGCCGGCCACGTAACAGAGAGTCCCGAGTTTCGCAGGAAACCTGCGATGAGAGCACGGCCGAATTCTCGGACGGCATTCTGACGCATTGAGTTAGGATACACGGGCGTATAGCAGAAGAAAACATCCGCTATTCTTATAGGTCTCGCTCACTCTGACATCATATCATCATAACCTAAACAACGGCCGAGTTGTCACCGCTAAGCCTAAAACGAAAAGCGTCTCGCTCATTTCCGTCGGAGTGGACATAGATTCACGCTATTAGATTCGCTCTCATGATCGATCCGCGGACTCACTGTTTGAATAAAATGAGATCACAGGAAAACATACCAAGTTGCACACAATCGCCCGGCGTCCGAAGAGGAGAACCACTCACACTCAGCTCTACACACAAGCTAAGCTTTTGTATTGAGACGCATCGTCGACAACAAGATGGCGTCGGCCTCCTTCCTCTCGCCGGATACTCACTCCGACTTGCTCAGTCCCCACCGCGGCCGGAGTGTCTGCGATTTTGGCTCTCCGATCTAAATGAGCTGCTCTGAAACTTCCGAGAAGAGTTCAGGAGACTTTGGACCTCTCCTGAGCAGCGGGCCAGCACAGCTCGTTCAAAACTCGGCAATATCGCGGAATGAGCACGCAGGGGTCGACACAAGCGGGAATTCCAGGACGAATCAAGTACCTGATAGTACAGCGATCGCTCTGGGGGAGTTGTACCGCCGTATGCCGTATAGACGGTTAGATCGAATCGAAGTATCCAAGTACCCGGAGCCGATACTCTGGTACGACAAGATCAGAGCGTAGTTTCCAACTGAGGCTATGTTTTTTCTCCTGAATCGGTCGGCAACATGTCTCTCGCGGAGCGATGCATCGGTGGGATCGATGGGTGAGCTCAGAGAAGCTCTCAGACGCAAATCTCGGAGATTCATGTTTTGGCCGCTAATCTGGTAGCAAGAGGGATTCCCGCGTCTGCCAGACTGTATCGGAAGAGCGTTTCCAGAGAACGAGTCTGGGCCCAGCTATTCTTGACCCTAGGTCTCGGTCAGACTTTCCATATCCCGTTAGACTTTAGTTCCGATATCGACTCACCAAATAATAGAGCTGCGCGAAGGGTCTCACTGTAATCCGTTTCTTTCACTGGGGAGTCAGTAAGAGGACGACGGTACGGATCCTTTTCGAAACAACGGAGCTTTTCTCTAACGGTGTCGACGGAACAAGATGGCGTAGCGGTGTGTCTTTTCTTCTCTCAAAACCGGTCAGGGTCTGCGCGTCTGCGGGTTGACGACGGCACCGCGCCGAACAACACAAACACAACCCTCTCTTGTTCACGAAGATGAATGCATTCTCAAGATCGGAGGTCCCCTGAATCGACCAGCCGGGCTATCAAATTCGAGGTATCTCGGCGGAGACGAGCTAGCGAGGTGGGATCGGAGAATATTCGCTGGCTGCATGGCGTGGTGAGCGTTTAAACATCCTTCGGCCGAAAATTGCGAGATGATCGCATCTTTGGCACTCCACATTCCTCGAAAATGCGCGATAGGGAGGATTCATGTGCACACGCTTATGATACAAACAGTATTCGGTCTTTGATCCTTTGGACTCTTAGAAGCAGCTCCATGAGTTGGACCGATGAGATCGCTCGGCAGACGCACGCGGTACAACCATCATGATTTTATACACTCGAGACCGATCCAACTTCTAGTTCTCGTCTCGGAGACTGCTATTGCGATCCGGTGGACGTGTGTCCCCGACTGTAGTCGAGCTTTGGCTTGACGTGGACGGGCGAGCGAAGGAGAGCTTGCCCCCAAACGGCGAAGCCTTCAAGCGCCGTGTTTCGATGAATTTTCAATCTAGGGATGATCTCCGGGAAAAAAATCTTCGGGATGGATTGACTTCATGAGGTATGACGTTCCTCAAAATTTCGTTCTGTCGGTGACCAGAGAGAGGGAACGCTTTCCCAAGAAAATTGTGTGTAGCTTCTCGCATCCTCTTGGAGGAGTATCTCCGGGTATACGTCACCCGCAGTTCGCTGGAAGAACCCTGAAGGTTCTCCGAGCCGAAAATCATCCCGGGACCGGGACGGAATCCGACGGAGCGAGAAAGAAAGATCCATCGAGTTCATCCCTTTCACAGAGTTCTCCTTTTCAGATGCTGTCGCGGATGCTATTCCAGGTTTCTGGATATGTCCTCCTGCATGTTTTCGGTCTATGGGCTCTTCTGCAGCAGATTCTCAAGTCATGTTCCACTCCACCAAAGAAATTCAACTTTGTGTCACAGGAAGGCAGGGTCAGTCCTCTATCCAATTTACCGAAAAGCCGGAGAATTATGATTCAAGAATTCAATAGAGAGGAATTCAAGTTGAAGACGCAGGGATCAACGAATAAAATCATGTGCTTTCCCCGAATTGAAGATATTCGTCGTCACCGGCGGCCTGCGGGGCATCGGAAGGATGATTGTGGAGCGACTCATCGATTTAGGAGCTTTCGTAATAATGAGTAAGTCCATCTGATCAGAAGACGCATCGACGGTAGCAAGCTGACTCTCGGAGGGCAAAATGTCCAATATTCAATCTCGCTTCTTGATTTTGCAGCGAGCAGAAGCCCGCCGGAAACTGCATTGAAATCTATCGGAACCGCTAATTCATGGCGGTTTCGATATGTTCAGCTGAAACTGGAGTCGATGTCTGAAGTTTCAGAATTCTGCGAAATGATCAGAAAAGAATACGCGCGCCTTGATGGCGTCGTATGTAATGGTACGACACCGCCAGCAAAAAAAAATGCCTGGGATTGAATTGCCGTTGAAAGTCACAGAATTATGCAATTGATTTGCAGCTGGAACATTGAGCGGATCGGATGGGCGACTCACCTCCGAGAATCTGGAGCCACAGCAAGCTGTCAACTACTTTTCAAACGTTCTCATGGTCGAGAATCTGCGGCCCTTGTTGCGGAGACACGACTCCAGAGTGATTCTTGTGTCCTCCATCGTTCAATGGCTTGGCTACTGCAACCTCGAGGACATCATGCTCGAGTAGAACTTCTTCCTTCCTTTCTTTCCGACAGAGTTTTCTCATTCCTCAAGCGTTCGAGGGGGGCAACGGGCTCGCAGCCGAGAAAATGAACCCAGGTTCTTGATTTTTCAGAAGGCTTTACAGTCCGCACTGGGGCTATGCGCAATCCAAACTATGTCAAGTCGCGTACGCGCGACACCGTGGACGTCGATTCCTCCAAGAGGGTTTCACGATCAACGCCGTGCACCCAGGGCTAGTGGCGAGCTCATTGTACAACGCGATCATCAACTTCCTCGGCTCGTTCTTCTTCGTGGTAATTGCTCGATCCTCATATTTCTCTCCCGACTGGAGCTTGCGAAATAGGAATTCTCCTAAGTGGAATTCATTTTCTCAGAGCCTCGAGAGCGGGGCCGAAGCAGTGCTGCACGCACTCTTGTCGGCCTCTCTGGACGGTGTCTCAGGACAATACATCGAACGTTTCGATATTCTGCCCCCGGTTAGAAGAGTTCGGGACGAGAAGTTCCTGACGGATCTCCACGATCTCACGACCAGGTATCTGAACCCGTGGCTAGAGTGCGATCACGAACACCAGGCTCTGAGCGAATAGACCAGCCGAGCACGATCCACTCAGCCAGGTGACCGCTCTCAAGAGATTCAGGAATGCCTTGGTACTCGAGCACAAGAATAATCTGAAACGGATCCCAAGCCCTTGCTTCAACATCCAATTTTAAAAAAAATTTAGCTGAACAACGAGTTTGGATGGAGAGGTTTTCATACAGCGGAGTCAGATGTGCTAGGACATAAATGTGATCGACATGTGATAGGATATAAATCGAGGTCCTGTCGTTTTGATTGCGTCATCCACAGTTCATTCCGGAAATGAGACGAAAATGCACAGAAAATCATCTATCTCTTACCGTAGACGATATTTATTCGCAAAATCGTTCTCAGTGCAATATTCGGGGGCTATCGGTTTTGCAGAAATTGCATAGGTGAGTGTGAGTGTTTGTCTGTGATGTTCGACTAGCTCACGAATTCTCGGGAGGGAAACCATGACCGGAGGCGTTGCTCGTGGTCGAAAACCTCCAAAATGAATTCGACTCCGGGATGGCGCCGGCATTCAAGGCGGCGGCTTTCTCATTTGGAAGTAATCGACGTTTCCTTTTTGATAACATAACATTCGTTCATCGCCAGCCTGGAAGAGAGAACGAGTTCGGATCCAGTTGCGAGACCCTCTTCCGCCATGACACGGATTGGAGCAGTCGACTGTACCTTTGTCTCTAGGTTAACGATATATCTTTCTTGTAGAGATTCTCTCCAATTCTTTAGGACACACTTGAATTCTGAGAATTTCCTATCATCTATATCTTCCGTATAGAGCCAAACTGTCATAAAGGATGATCTCCGAATTCGTGAGAATCTGAAGTCTCTGATTATTACTTACAAGGTGAGGAGTTGTTCGTGAGTTTTGATCTCCGTTATGTCCAGCCACTGGCGAGAAGAAAGAACGTCAGAAAATTGGGCACTACACCGAGCAAGGTAACCTCTGCTTCGAAGTTCGATTAAGTTTCCGATCGAAGGAAAATGAAAGTATCTCTAGTGACGCCTCAGTTGGGACTCACCCTCGCTACCGATTTATTGAATTCCCGTTCGAAGTAATCGACGACCTCATTCAGATCACCCTGCGCGAGCCCCTCGAGCGCCGGGATGTCCAGTTCCCTCTCAACGTCGATAGAGCAGTCCGACACCTTCACTGGCTGTTGAATGACTGTCTGCTCCTTGTTGATAATGCGCTGCATGGGCCAGAGCAAGATAAAATTTATTCATTCAGACCGTCGGATATTTGTCAACATTCCGGGATGAGTCCGAATATGATCGACTCCTGATCGGGAGTCGCAGAACTCACATCAAGACACATGGCAGCCTGTAGAACCGTAGCAGCAATGTTGAGTAATCTGCTCGAGGCCTCGAAATTGGGAAGGAGACATCGCTGGAATATCCGACGGACGTAATCTCGGTGGGTCTTCGCCAGCGAGTCCACGGTGCGAACCTGGCTAAGTTTCTTCCGTAAATGGGACCACTCTTGCTCTGCAACAAGTTTTTTTGAAAAGGTGAAATATTCAATTCATCGTCGCGGTCGAATCGAACTCCTCGACGTCGCATGCGATCTCCTTCTGAATCTGAGGGGTCAACAACAGATTTTCGATACGCACCGACAGAGAAGAGAGAGAAGTACGCGGAGAGGCTTTGTACGAAAACGAGCATTCTCTGCAGAAGGGCTCGCGCCATGCCCGTCGTGTAAGGGATCACGTCGGCACAGAAAGATTCCCCGAGGAAAAGCTGGAGGCGGGTCCCGAAAATTATTTCATACATCTCCCGAACCTGCAATTCGATTAATTCACTGCAATGAAATCCTGCTGCGTAACCGGATCGACTCGGACCGGCAGTCTACAGGTGACCCAAGAGTCCAGAGAGCATTCCCTGTCAATGTGTCCACGGAACGGTCTCGTCGCTTTGCGACGCCGCCATGCGAAACGTCAGGGAGAGCGAAGCCATCGCTGGCGACTCACCTCCGGCGTGAGCAAGTGTTGCAGGATCCATCCACCGTTTAGGTCTGTCGATAGGCACTCAAAGGTGTAGCCTCGACCCCCGTTCTCTAAATATTTCACGACCTCCTCCTCCTTGAGTTTGCCGCTCCGAACGGCAAGAGCTGCCAATCGCGCGACCAATTTATCCTCGTGGAAGCTCAAGCCAATATGGGACTGCCTGCAAAGGATTTTTTCTTGCAATCGAGTCGCCCATACATGATTCAGGGAGATTCTAGAGAGCCGGACTCACGTGAAAGTGGATGCGGCGCTCCCCGTCACGGCATCAGCCAGGAAATTCTTCAGGACCATCGGAGAATACAGCGAATTGCTAGTGATGAGCTGGCTACGGCTGAGATCGCAGAACCTTTTGAAGACGTCCGCTCGTACGAATAAGAAGACTTCCTTGAGCGACGTAAGATGATCCTTTGGGACGGGAGGTCAGCGTCAATTCCCCGCCAAGTTTCCGAGATCGTATATGTAGTATATCCCTCTGTGAATTGGAACTTTTCACCGCACCTCTAGGTCTCCAAATTTCGTCATGACGTTGAAAAGCGTCGCTGATGTGTCTACAATGACGGCCTGGACTCCGCGTCTTAGCTCCTCAACTGTCAGACCTTCCGCGTCCTTGCCCAGATTTCGATCTACGCTCTCAGCAGCCGAATGATCTTCTTCAAGTTTTCCGGTCGTAGATGACCTTGAAGTGACGAAAATGAGACGGCTGGTCCAACTAGCGGTTCCCATCGGGAACGTTCATTATACCGTCATCCGCTCAATAAGATGTCTCACTGGACTCAAACCTACTCCAATCTTTCCTCATTGACGCAGTTGACCATCTCGGCAAAGCATCCCGCTTTCATAATGTCGTTCTTGAGATCGTCCAGGAAGGACGGTACGTTCTCCTCGATAAGGTCGTACTTCGAAGAGAGAACCTCTTCCTTGCGGAGGTACGAGGGTCGGAGCTGAACCAAGAACTGGAAATGGACATCTGCCCTGTGTCATAACGTATGCAATGGTCGTCGGGTCAACCGTCTAGGAATTTATAGAATTGGTAGGATGTCGTGGATATGAATTAACTCACCTCCCCTCTGGGATCTATCATCAGTTTGCCTTTCAGCCAATGACGCAGCATTTCGATGTAGGGTTTAATCGCCTCCTGTAGGCATCGTTCGTATATGCCCCGCGCGACCGAGTTGCCAGAGTTCCCGACCGACGAATAGAGAAGCGATAGAATTTGTGCGCCTTCGAGACGCTCGTCGATGATCTTGTTGCACAGGTCGGACAATGTGAGAAGTATGATACGCTGTTGGGCCATCTGTTGTTGGAGCAGTTTGAGCGAAAGCTTATGCAAGCCGTCCGACACACTGACGAGATGGAGCCGAAATTTCGCCAAGATACTGCTGATGCATCCGACCAGGGACTGCAGTGTCAACGAGAATTTCGTCGTTTGATACTCTGTAACATTAAGCTCATGATTATACTACATAGAACTTCTGCTCAGATAACGGAGCTCGGGTGCGAGAAACTCCACCATGCGTCATTCCGAAGAGCGTCGAGCGGCAAGTTTCTTGTCTCAAAAGCAGATCTGGCTGAGCGAGTCCTAGAGTGATCTCGAACCTGTTATGAAGGTCCTTATCGTGCAATGGTTCACCGCCAAGTCAGCCATGCCCTTCGCCTCGGCGACCAGCTGAGGCTGTATATCCGGGTGGAAATGGATTTCGCATTTCCCGCTTGAGCTGCGCTCGCTCCAGACTAAGTCATCTGAAATCACAGTCCAATTGAAAAGGGAGTTGACGCATCATCTCTTGATTGTATTCCTGTTCACCGAACCGTCATGAACTCGTGCTAGTAGCCCCCCCTCATCTTTCACATTCCTTCCGAGAATCTCCGGGGCCATTGCGTCTGATGGGCAAGAAGGATCACCTATCTACTCAAGTGTCATCAAATTTCAAATTTTTCGCGACTGACCAACCCTCTCCCCCTCGAGCGGGAATCGCTTCCGACTAAACTGACCTGGTGTAAGTCCGATAATGCAGAGTATCCCCCTGAGGAGGAGTCGCTCCTGCTGCTCCACTCGCATTGATTTCAATGCTGGACAATTAGGGGAACGTTGAGCGATTCCGACCGGGAAATTGCCCCTGACAGGTCTCAGACAGTCCTTCGTAACCTACGACGAATGAAATTGACTTAAATGCCAGCAGCCAGCGCGGCGTACTTCAATCATCAGCTTCGATTGACAGAGATTCGAGGAAGCTCCCCTCAGAGAGCGAAACAGATAGCACCCTGCGGATAAGTCTAATAATTCCATCACGCTCATACGAACGAGCTCTTCAACTCACATCCCGAGGTCTCTCCGTTGCCCCCTCAAAGCCTTTGAGGAGGTCCATCGGCGATCAGGCGAGTGATCACAATTGTCTCTGCAGACGTTCTAGTCCAGCTTCTCGATCGGATGTCTGAAGGCTACCACAGTCGAATTTGACTCGAATTCGAAGACGTCTCCGCAAGGCTTCCGCGCGCTCAGAGTTGTCAGCAATCTCCACATTCAAACTTCTGAGGCTCCTCTAATTCAGAGGTCGGGAAAAGCGACTGGGCCTCCGATCTGTCGAATTTCCACGGTTTTAGCCTCAGAATATTCCTTATTTTGTTATCCGGTGCGCCAAAACCTCTCTCCGCTTCTAACACTCGCCCTCTCCCTGCATTCTACGAATGAATGCATTCCTTCCCGACTCTTGCTCGTCAGCGGGCGATGTCCTGTTTCTTGAGACTCTCCCCCGATACGCAGCTGTCAACGGGGAAGGATCGCCTCGATAGCGCTACATCTCATTTCGAGCTGGAACATTCCTCTCCGCCAGTTTTGACTGGGTTGAAGTCGACAAGAGCAAAACCAATCTAAGCGATTCCATAGAGCTCAATTTTTCTGAAGCCGGAACCGTGGATCAGGGACTAAGCCCGAGACAGAGAGAGGTTTTGGTTAGCGCCACTACGGCGCGCTGCTGTTGCTATTGGTGCTGATGATCCAGGGCGCCACATTGTTTTCATGTCAAAGGGTCCAGGTGATCGTCGTCGATCTGAGCAGCACCGTTGACTAACAGTCCCGTGTGGTCCGTGCTCCCGTGCGGACTGGCTTCTTGCGTAATCTGGACTTGGCGGCTCCTCCAAAGTGGAGTCTCGCAGCCACAGACGCTGAAAAACAGCCGGGAGTTCCGACGGGCTCGGAAAATGAGATCCGAATAGTGGTCCCTTAGTTAGGCTTGGTGAAACTGTGACCGAGAGGCTAGTTTTCCCGAGGAAACAAACGGAAGATGGCGAAGCTACTCATAGTCGCCGCGCTGTTCTTGTGTCACGTCAATTCGGTAAGTACCCCCCGTTCATTTTGTCGAAAGTTTCCATACCCGTTGTTGGGAAACCGTTTCGTCCCGAGACATGAACCGAGCTCCGGCACTTGACGAGTTGTGACATACGAGAGTCGCGCGTATTGACTTCGATTACCATTCGTGTCTCTGCACGAACTCACGGAGCAGCTGTTCAGCTACGAGACGCTTCCGAGGAAGATTATCTCTGAATTCGGATCTTTGTCAGGTTCCCTCACCGATGGGGGCGATGACGGTGGTGATGAAACGCGATGCGAAAGTTTTTTCCGCCCGATTCCGCAAATGAAGGAAACCAGCTGTCACTCACGAGAGTGTGATTTATCCGTGCGAGAACGCTTAAGTCTTTGAGCTTGCTTGGGAGACGGGATCATCGGGGTTCAGCTCATGCTTCCCGTAAGACTCGTGATACAGCATCCGATCCAAGCCGACTGGGATGATATTTATGCGTCCAACAAAGGATCGACCGCTTGAATCCGAGATTGCGGTCCAGATTTATATTGTCGACTAAATGATTTTCCATGTCACTGTATCAGACGCCGCTTTCGATGAGGTCAAGCTCACTCGGAGAAAAATATTTCCAAGACGATTCAGGCCCATCTTGTCGAGGTCGTTCCCGAGAGTCTTTTCAGGGGGTTCCTCCCTCCGGATCTTCATTCCTAGCGGAACTTGACTCGCATCTATATTCAGCGCCCTGATTACGACCGGAACGCCACAGATGATTGACGTCATCGAATTCCTGAGATCTATCGCTGGGTAATCGGGCAGGTACGCGGCACGAGTCGACCCGGAGAATGGAGCTGAGCCACTTACGGAGACCGAGATTGTGGATAGGACTCCGTGATTTCCAGAAGGGCATCGTTTCCCCTCTCGACGAGTTCCCGAAAATATCCCTCAGAGGAGGAAAACCGGAAAATGGAGGAACACGGTGTGCTGCCGTCCGGATCCTATCAGAAATACACTTGGCACACAGAGCCGCGTTCCGCTTCTCTTTGGATCGATGCGGCTGTGACGAGGTCAGCTCTATCAGCGGCTCGACCGATTCTAGCTCGCGAGCCAAAGCTTCTCCCCTGGAAGTTCCGAAACCGAAACAGGGATGGGGCCTCAAGAGACAGCTGCAAGCCTAAGTTCTGCCGGAATACGGCGCCGCACAGTGGTCAAAAATCGATTTTTAGGTGGACAAAATTATTTGAACGCTTTTTTCGACTGACTCGGATCATTTGAGTTCGGAAATGAGTCCGAGAGAGTTTCTGGTCGTCATCTTGGCCCTAGAAACGAAGTTCGAGGCCCGACGAGGTCAATAATGAGACACTCTTCGAATTAAACGAGCTACATTATATTCGTTGGAACTTGCTTATGGAGAGCATTCCACTAGTCTAGACAACACTACGGGTCGCATCCCTCTTGGGTCTCCCACTCCTCGGCGCTGAGATGGAGGACGCTGTGGATGCGGCTGAGGATGGTAGATCTGACAGAGCTTTCACCGTTTTGGAGCCCTGTCGATCACCGGAGAAGTGTAAGGAGAGATGGCCCGCGAACAATAGTTCTCCTGTGCCGTGCTGTAGTAGAGGTTGAACTCCACGTGACTTCGACTTTACGGATAAATCGCAGAAATTTTTCTCTGATCGGCCAGCCCCTCGGATGGCTGTTGATGCCGATGTACATGGCTTAGCTTGTACTCTCAGCTTGACTCTGAATCGGAAGGGCCCTTTTTGGAACCAGCCCGCGCATTGGTGGTGGAATTTTTCCTTCTTCCGCTGACACTTCTGGAATTTTTCCATCGATCGATGGATCTGTCGGCTAAGTTGGGCTCTGGAGTCGTGTAAATCGTCTACCTTGTGTGATCTCTCAGCTCCGATCATGCGCAATCAATCCCTTTAGTGTTCATTGGAAGAAGCCGCGAGGCAGCCAGGGGTAGTTTAGCGCGGCACGCGGCGATTTTGAGAGCGGTTTCCCGCTTCCGCCCATCGTGCTGGATGCTGCCCGATCTCATGTCCGACCACAGATGTCCCCAATCAGAGGAGCGTCTCCGATGAACGACTCAGAGTGATGCTCTCTGAAGGAACAAATATCCACGGGTACGATAATCTCAATACAGAACCCGGGGATCACGATTCGAGCAATATCTCGCCCATTTACGGCTTTTCCGTGGTTTTCCGGAAAACAAGGCCCTTAGCGCAAAAAAGCGCAAAAATCGGTTATCACCTCGTGAAAGCTGAGGTTTTAACGAGCAATTAAAAAAAAATCAGACTGGGTACATTTGGGTACAGTGTCCAAATGCGGCCCTAAAGGTTTTGGCCATTTTTCGAAAGCCAGAGAGAAATCCATGGTTCGTATCAAGTAAAAACGCTTCCGTTCTCATGGCCCCACACGGATCCATACCTATCAAGACCTTCTTCCCACTCTTTTTGGTCACTTTTTTGCCTTAAACATTGAAAATCGAAAAAATAATTTTGTCCACCTAAAAATCAATTTTTGACCACTGTGCGCCGTATCCGAGCAAGAGATGGCTCGTCTCCCGCGGAAGGCGTGGACCCGTTTCCGGAGCGCCTATTCCAAACATCCATGATATCGGATTCCGCAGCATCCGGAGCTAGAGATCGCCCGATCACTCGGGGATCTCATCGGGGGCTCGGCGAGTCCTTTAGGAAACACGACACGGATCGGTCTGGCCGTGTCTGCAGACAGAGGGAGACAGCGGGACACGAGACACTGGCTTTATCTCCTCCGGACGCAAACGAATGGACGAAGCAAGTCGTAGTTGAAACTGTTCTAGCGGCATCGTGAGACTCGGCGTGGAGGTCGACTTCAGCTCCGATCATCTCATGCGTCATCTCGCCACACGCTTATCGCTCCAAACAGGATCGCTCTCAAGTAAAGAGAGCGTGATGCATCCAAGTCGTTCCGATCCGTCCATGTCCGATTTGGTTTCTCGATACCTCCGATTTGCCGATCATTGAAGGTGGAAGCTCAATGGAGTTCTGGTCCCGGAGTATTGTCGAAGATTCATGAGACGTAGCTGGAGCAGAAATTCATTCGAGGTCGTGATTAGTTTTAGAGCGAAACATGCATGCCTAGACCTACTTCGTTCAGAATGGACCACTATCGCTCATCTTTCTCTTTCGACTCCTTCCCAGGTCCATCTTCAATTGACGGGGCCGGAAATTGCCTGGCTCAGGGCTGAGACCCGCCATTCATCGCAGCATTTCTGCATGCTCTATTATCCTGAATTTAGAAGACTACCTGGATCACCGGCATTGGCGGATCCGATCAAGCTTCTCAACGCCACAAAGTGAGTCACATATTTTCTTCCCTGGGACATTTCAGCCACAATCTCTGTGGACTGATAGAGTCTCTCGACTCGGAACATGGAGGTTCTCGGGCTCTCCTCCAGGTCAAATCACGCGTTTGCTCATATCCTGAAGACATTAAAAGTTCTGAGATCCATTTGAAACATGTTCTATCCTATCTGCAGGTACGACGGCTGTTCCGAACTAGACTTTCGGTTTGATCGGCAAGCGGCCCTGACTAACGCAACGAATGCTTGCGCAGTCGAGAAGACGATCGTCAATTTCAAAAAAGCCAATTTCGCAGCGCTCATCATGTCTGCCTCGAAGTCTTTCCTCGTAAGTCATTCCTCCGACCGCTCTATTCCGATAACAACTCCACATGAGCAGCGATCCGTAACTCGGTTGCAACGTTCTGCGACCCGGAAAGAGGTTGTCGTCACAAAATGAGATTTCGAGGAAAATTTTTCAATTCATCCCAGGAGTCGAATCAATTCAACGTGAACGAGACTCGAGACATCGATCTGGTCGTGGGCTTCGTATCAGAATCGACGGCGAATGCCTTGCAGGTCAGTACAACTTTCTTGCGTACACCGTCCGAATAATCGGAGAGACCAACAAACGATCTCGCCGAAGAGAAGCATCAAGGGAGAAAACCCCTCAAATTTCTTCCATATTCGAAAGTCTAAGCTTTTCGACCTTTGAAACTTTCAAACAGAGTCTCCTCGCTACGGGCGAAGACGTCAATATCACGATGTACACAGGCGACGATGGGGTTTTCGACTTCTCCCTCGCCGCCATCTGGGTCATCGCTGTTTTCACGGTCGCGGTGGGCGCCTACTGGAGTGGTAAAGTTCGCCTCGAACTCTTCATACTCGAGCAGCATCAAAGAGGCCAGGACTGCCGCTTCCTGAATGGCGGCAACGGTTTCCAGGAGAACAAAATTTCCCAGAGCGGATCCCTGCAGGTTCGTCAGCATGTTCACTTCCTACGGAAACTTTCGCTTGATGACGCGACGTTGGTGGATGCGATAAGATCGATGATTGATGGGACGCCTTCAAAATCTTACGCTCCTTCCGCTTCCAGACTTACGCAGACGCCGTTCGACAACCGCCGCAGGAAGAAAGTTCACTCGATGTCTCGCCTCTTCTCGTGTCTCTCTTCGTTGTGTGTATGGGAGCGATGCTCATTTTGCTCTATTTCTTCTTCCAGTATCTCGTCTACTTCATTATCGGTGAGAGGAAGAAACCGCGAGAATAAACCCGCTTCGGTGTGGGAATTGAAATCGCACCGATATCGAGAGGAAATGTTCCTTGATAACGCCCTCTGATGAGCTGTTCTCGTTCTGATCAGGGATGTTCGCCTTGGCCTCCGTCACATCTCTCATCGGAGTGCTGGAACCGTTCGTGGACCGGATCCCCATCGGGACGACCAAAATACCTCGAAAACTCGTTCCATGCTTCTACAGCAGCCTTCAAATTCGTCACCTTTTCCTGATTCTGTTTTCGATCGGGGTCACAACTGCTTGGCTCGTATTTCGTCTCGAACCCTGGTCCTGGGCTCTGCAGGATCTGCTTGGTGAGTAGCGTTGCTTTCCTGGATTTTTCGAGATCGCGGATTTCGACCAGTCGACGAGTCTGCATCCTTTGCCCGTCCTGCGGATCCAGTCCCGCAGCTTTTAAAACGACCGACATGACGGCCCCTTGTCCTCCGTTACAGGCGTGGCGTTCTCGCTAAACATGCTCCGGAGCCTTCGCCTTCCAAATCTCCTCATCTGTTCAGTGCTGTTGATTTTGCTGTTTTTCTACGACATCTTCTTCGTATTCGTGACACCCTTCTTGACGATGAAGGGTGAGAGCGTTATGGTCGAGGTGGCCACAGGAACGGCCGATACTCAGGAGCAGCTTCCCATGGTACTACGCATCCCCCACCTGGGTTTCGAACCGCTTCCCGCGTGTTTGTCCCGCTACTCTGTCCTCGGCTTCGGGGATATCCTGGTACCGGGACTCCTAGTGTCGTATTGCCACGCCTTCGATCTCCTTCACCAGACGCGGCCCGGCCGACTCTACTACACGGTATCAACGATCTGTTACGGAATCGGTCTCATGGTCACATTCGTGGCGGTGTATTTTATGAGGACAGCTCAGCCCGCTCTACTCTACCTCGTGCCCTGCACCCTCCTCCCCGTTGTATTGATCGCTCTATGTCGAGGCGAGCTCAAGGCAATGTGGAAAGGAAACTTCCATAACTCCCCAGTCAACGCCAACGGCAATTCGCAACCTCATCCTCTACCGAATAATTCCGTGTTGCCACCTTACGGGGCAACGGAAACCGAGCCAGCCCCCATTTACCAAACGGACCCAGCTTTGATCCACAACTAGGAGGGTCGTCAGGTGGAGACTTCGATGGATAGTCAGCCGGTCCGTTAGTTGAATAATAATTAGTTAGTCGGTAGGTAGGTCGGTCGGTCACTTAACCACCCATCTAAGTCATGGAACCGTCATCGTCATTCGTTCAGGATTTCACCCGCGAACGGGTCCGCTGATCACCGCAGGAATCGGCAGACATCCACGCGAAACCACCCAGAGTCATGCAGCTCACGCTTCCTGACCCCGTTGCACGAACGTCGAGTTTCGGTCGATATCGGAAGGGAATACCTCATTTCGTCGGGGTATTTCTTCTTTTCTCTTTGTCCGAAAAGGCTCACAAGAACCGTAGCTTTGAGAGGCCGTCAGAGATTGCATAGGAGAACAAATAATGTAGACTTCTCATCCGAAAATCCTATTCCCTGTCTTCTACCACTTCATGGATGAGGAGCGAGAGAATCAACCCCCTTTCTCCTACCGACACGAAACAAGGGCAACGGGTCGGAACCAGTGGTGATATCTGTAGAATCAAATAGTTCTAGATAATAATCGAGTTCGCGCGCTCGACGTAGAACTTTACCGAATGTGGCGCGTTTGGAGTTTTCTTTTGATGCTTGGTGAGATGAGAAATCTGAAGTGAAGAGAACGAGTCGATCGATCCAAGAGATCGATCCTATTTACTGTATAAAGCTGTCGATTTCAAATGACCGAAGTATCCGAGGCAGTGGCTGCGCAGCTCCGTTGAGGATATGAAAAAGCGCATGATGAATAAATAACTGATGCTTGGACATCTCGTCGGAAAATAGGACCTGGGATGAGACATTAGCGAGCCGATGCCTCGAGCTGTCCATTTTAAACTCTCGATTAGATATTCTTCTGTATAATACGACTAATCCATCGATCCTCTGGCCTCTCTGTCTGAATGCGTCCCCTGTGATCAGAGGATGATGATACAATACTTGCCGAGAAGAGGAAATCTGAATAAAACGATATTGAAGCTCGGTCTTGAATTATTCGTCGTCTCCGCGTCCCCTCCGTTCGGGTGCTCTTGATTCTTCATAGGAATATCCCTGTGCATTCGGTCCGGACATTTTCCTACGACACGGAGGAGCTGGAATCCATCTGTTGATAATACTCACTCCACACTCTGTTTCTCTACGATCCCCAAATATATACTGATATACTGATGGAACACAGAAATTCCCAATATGAGAACGACGCGAATACTGGCGACGTCATTATGTAATAAAAATAACGTTTAGGAATATCTCAAGAGGTCGTGTTTTTTTTCGGAGCCTCACGTGCAGCCTTACTCGAGGCTCGGATTCCTATCCATAACTCCCACTGCGGTTCTGAAGGAAGCCGATGGAGGCATGCTCCGGAGCAAGATTCGCAATCTCCTACAGGGAAAGATCTCCGAGGAAGCTTCACAAAACAGAACGGTTGGAGGCGCCTCCCGTCATTTTTATTGAAGATAATGTACGGAATCGAGGGTGGTTCCAGCCCGCGGTGTGTGTGATTCATCATTGAGAGGCATCGAGACGTCTCTTAGCAGGACCCGATGAGGATGAGTCCGTAGCATTCGCGATTAGTTCATTCGCTAGAGTCAGGCATCTCAATCGAGCACCCAATCCTCTCTCGCCCAATTAGGCCACGAAGCAGTGTACTCGAAATCTTCACCTTTGTACGAGTAGCAATGGAGATACATCGTGAGATCTTCAGGCGACGGATCAATGTAACGCTGTTGACACTCTGGACACGATTCGACGTATTGCATTTTACTCGGATCGTAACCTCGTAACGTTTTCCGGAAATCATCCGTTATATAATGTTCGAGATTCTCGGGATAGTTCTTGAAGAAGTCTTCTGCCGATGACGTCGCAGGACTTCCCGGGGTGTCGGAGCTTGGATTCGCCTGGCCGAAGGTGGCTTTCCGATTCTCGAGCTCCGCGTCCGACATCGGGGTCAGCCAATTCTCCAACGTGTGCCGCTTCATCAACTCGTCTACGAGTTCTTCAGGCGTTTTCTCCGTCAAGCCGCCTTTAGCTCTGTTCGAGCCGAACGCCTGAAGTGAATAAAGTTTCATTTTCTTTCTTCAGGGTGGAACGTCCCTTGATTTCCATCCTCTTCGAAATTTCCTACGGCGGAGCCACGCAAGGCCCTCGCTCACCTCGTCATTGTAGAGCGGATCTCTAACAATCGGATGGCCGAGATACTGAAGATGGACCCGGATCTGATGCATTCTTCCCTGCTTCGGTCGAGCCAGAACGACACTAGATTTTCCGTTAAAGCTCAACTTCTCGAAGATAGTGGTGCAGTCTCGGCCGCCTTCTTTGACGCCACTGACTCCAATCTTGTACGAATAAACTTCAATCGGCTTCGCCACAGTAATTTCTCCATCGGGGAACTCGCCCCGAACCCGACAAAGGTACTGTTTGGTGACGTGCCGGGTTCTGATCAGCTCGTCCATGAAGAGCGATCGTTCCTTAGTCTTCGCGAACATCAGGACGCCGGATGTCAACCTGTCCAGTCTGTGGAGCGTGTGGAGGCTGCTGTAACCATTCTCTTCACTCAGAATTTTCAACATGCTGTTCAGTCGATAACGGCTGCATGGGTGAACTGGAATCGACGGTGGCTTGTCCACGACAAGCATGTTTTTATCTTCGTAGATGATTTTGATCGGACATCCTAAAAATAAATCGAGGGGAAATCGCTAGAGATTTTAGGTCTTTCAACGGCAACGGAGTTCTGGAGAAGAATTAATTTTCCTCGTGAGAGACTCACCTATAACGGGGACTTCGTGTCGATGGGTCTCATTCGTCACCTTGTCATTGTCTTTGAAGCGGTAAGTCAAATCGACCGGTTCTCCGTTGACTCTGATCTGTCCTGATTTGATTGCTTCCTCGTAGTATTCTTTCGAGTGCGCTCGGAACTCAGTTGAGAAAACATCGAGTACCGTTCGCCCGACCCATCTGCCTTTCGCAAAAACTTGGTACTGGAACATATACGGATAAACTTTCCGCAACCCGTTTTGGAAGTAGTACCCGCTCTCCCGGTTTTCACAGGAGCCATCCGTACGCATTCGTTTTGCCTCCGGAGTATCGTCGGTTCCGGCAGCGGTTCCCGACTCGGTGAGTTTTCTTTTCTCATTCTGCTCATCGGTAGACTCCCGGATCTCTCCAGCCACAGGTTTGACTTCTGTCAGTGTAGACATGTTTTGCGCAGGCGGAATCGTGTCGCACAATGAGAGACATGGGAGTAGACGGGCACCTCGGGCCTGAGGGGAGACCGACAGCGTCGATCGAGCCTGTGATAGATCAACTGCGGACACTAGCTTGCGATGAGAGAAACCGATGCCGAAAACACTTGGTATCCCTCAGGGACGAAGGATGCGCCCGAGAAACGGAGCGGACCCTGAGCTCCAGCGTTGGAGGGTTCCGATCGATGGGGTCGTCCGAAAAGTTTTTCTCTCGTTCCCAACACTATAAGCCACTAAAAACGGGAAATTCTGAGCGGTACCCGCGTGTTGGGTCTGGAATCCTTGGCCCGTGGCGCGAACCGTGTTTCGAGTTTCGACGACCAGCTGGAACAACAAAGCCCAAACAAGCACTCCTCCGCGTCGAGTGTCCTGCATGGCGCTGAGCGCGTGCTTGGGCTGCCCATCATGAACTATAGATCGAATCAAGTATTTCCGATCGATGCCGGCCATTTTCGTGGAGTCAAACCGGTACCCCCGAGTTTCAGGGCTTGGGGCAACGACTCATGAAGTGTGTCACTGATGATTTCGAGTCCTGGGGCGGGCATTTTCGAAATTTCGAAACGAGTTCCGGCGCCTCGAGGAGAGGACCGGCAGTCTCCCAAGCCGGTCGGGGTGAGCCCCCAGTAGCCTCAACTACCTTTGCCCGCGCGCCCCGGCGGAGGAATCACTTAAAACTCGACTTACGTCTTACTGCTGCTGACGTTCCAAACCAGGTCCGATGTTAGAATAGTAATCGCTATCGTTACAATCTCGGAGATCCTTTCATAGGCTCATCGAAGCCCCGTATTTCACAGAGCGAATCGTTCCTTGTCTCGTGACCCGTCTCTATGACGGCGGATGGAGACCGCGGCATACATACATAGGAAACAACTCGGAGAGAATCGCGATCATTGGGCATGCGGATATAGTTTCGCGGACACTAAGCTCAGCGAGACGTAGAAGCATAATTTCAGGGGGGTATAGCCGATACCTACGACCTATGACCATGCCCAAACGTCCCGTAGAGTTTCGAGATGGTTCAGGAATTTTCCTGATCCTCCATTGAGTTGACTCTGCATCACATAAACATTCATAACTGTCTTATTTCCTCATGAGGGAGAACTTGTATGTACAGGGATTCATCGATGCGTCCTGATGTCGATTTGGTCACCTCAGGTCCGGCGTGCTCTCTCCCAAGTAGGTGCGTAAATCGTCCAACGTCGATTTGAAGATCTTCGCTTTCACTATCGGCCGTCCGAGCCTCCGTAAGGCCTCGTAGCGATGACAACCGCCAAAAGAATAATAGTAATCACCTCCATCTCGACCTTTGATCCAGAGAACGTCTATGGGAGGAACCTGCAAGAGAATGCCGCAAGGTCAAACGAGGACTCGGATGCTCGTGCGCGCAACCGAAGATTTATTTATTTATTCAGGAGAAAACTCCTGAATCTATGTAAAATTGAGCTTCGATCCGATCGACTGAGCGCAAGTCAAGGAGCCTCCGCGAGTCATATTTCCGACTAACCTCGTGCTCTTTTCGGGGATCCTTCAGTGTTTCTATCAATGAATTCACTTTGGCTTCGTCCAAGACAGACGGTATTGGTCTCACGATCACGTCGAAAGGCATGAGATGAACTTCGACTGCAATGGGAATGCTGCGACTTATCGGGGGGCAGATTTAGACACGGGAAAATCCGAGCACTAAATTGCAGCGATTCATTTAATCGTACGCAGTTAGTTCCCCTCTAGAGAGGAATTCGAAGGTTTCGCTGGATCAAGAGAACGGAGTCGATAACTAGAGCTCCTCCGGACATGAAGTCCCGTGGACTTTATTGACGACGGACAAAAGCTGTACAAAGAGCTGAGGGAAGTATCCAGCGACAAACGCCTTGTGCGTTCCATGGATTCCTCAAGAACGCGTTTCTTCCGAGGTGCCTCCTCTATTTCTATGAATCCTCGCATCGAAACTTCGCTTCTCAATCCAGGTCCCAATCTTCTCTTGCCCAGTTAGGCCACGAAGCAGTGTACTCGAAATCTTCACCCTTGTACGAATAACAATGGAGATGCATCGCGAGGTTCTCAGGTGAGGGATCGACGTAACGTTTCTGACAATCGGGACACGATTCGACGTAATGCATTCTGGTCGGATCGAAACCTCGCAATGATTTGCGGAAATCATCCGTTATGTAATGCTCAAGATTCTTCGGATAGTTTCTGAAGAAGTCTTCAGCTGATGACGTCACGGGGATTGCTGAAGTGTTTCGTTCTTGATTTCTAAGGTTCGTCCCCCGATCTCGGAGCTCCTCCTCAGTCATCGGTGTCTGCCACTTCTCCAGAATATGGTTCTTCAGCAGAAGGGCAACGACCTGATCCGGGGTTCTCTCAGTCAGGCCGCCTTTGGCTCTGTTCGGGCCAAACGCCTGGAACGGGGAAGGTTTCGGTTACTTATAATTTCTTTCCCTCAGCAATCTGTCTCGGCAGGGCTCAACTTCGCACTCGCTCACCTCGTCGTTATACAGAGGATCTCTGACGATCGGGTGGCCGAGATACTGGAGGTGGACCCGGATCTGATGCATTCTTCCCTCCTTTGGTCGAGCCAGGACGACACTAGATTTTCCGTTAAAGCTCAATTTCTCGAAGATAGTGGTGCTATCTCGGCCGCCTTCACCGACACCACTGACTCCAATTTTGAACGAAAAAATCTTTATCGGCTTGTTCACAACAACTTGCCCGTCGGGAAACTCGCCCCGGACACGACATAAATACTCCTTAGTGAGGCGCCTGGTACAGAACAACCTATCCATGTAGTGCGATCGTTCGATATTTTTCGCAAACATCAGGACGCCGGATGTCAGTCTATCCAGTCGGTGCAGCGTATGGAGATTTCTGATCCCGTGCTCCCTGCTCAATATTTTCAACACTGTGTTGAGCCGATACCGACTACACGGGTGAACTGGAATCGACGGTGGTTTATCCAAGACGAGCATGTTTTCGTCTTCGTGAATGATTTTGATGGGGCATCCTGTGAATGAATCGGAGGGAATCGATCGAAATGTGGACTGTCTCTCGCCTGAGTCAGGAAGGATTCATCTTGGATGAATGTGAATGAACTCACCTATGACAGGGACTTCGTGTCGATGTATTTCATTCGTTAAAAAATCATTCGGCTTGAGCCGGTAAGTCAAATCGACATGTTCTCCGTGAACTTTAATGCAGCCTCTTTTGATCGCTCCCAAGTAGTATTCTTCCGATTGAGTCGTGAACTCATTCAAGAAAACATCGAGTAGCGTTCGTCCGAACCATCTGCCCTTCGCGTGTACTTTGAATTGGAATGTGTAAGGATAGACTTTCCGCAACCCGTTCTGGAAGTAGTATTCATCTCCTCGGGGCTCGGTAGCTGCATCCACTCGTTGTTTGTCAGAATCATTCTCGCTTCCACACGGAGCTCTTGAGTCAGTGGCCTCTGTCTCATGATTCCGGTCACAGGTAGGTCTTAGAGCTCTCTGAGAGACTGAGGCAGCATCTGTCAGTGAGGCTGTTTTCCGCGTGTTCGATATCAGCTCACGGAAAGACACACGTTGGAATAGACGAACATTCATCTGTTCGGGGACGACAGCGGGGCGGATCGTCGATAGTGCGGAGAATCTGCTGGTGACGAAAACTTGTGGCCGCAGACCCGACCGACGAGCATTCAGAGCGGTCTTCCTCTTCCTGAGAGGTGCGCGAAGAGAGCACCGCGGGCGATGATTGTTTTCGTTGGAGGCGGATGCGGCTTCGCTCTGCGCGAGGCGCTCATTTTCTCAAGGTCCGTCAGGAGTGGGGACTGCTCGTCAACGTTTCTCGATGACGCTGTGCATTCAGCATCTCCTCCCTCAAGACAACTTCTGATCTTTCTTCCCGACCAGGAAAGCGGAAAAAGAGTCAAGCCATCGACGAGGAAGCTCAAACTGTCCGAAAAACTGAACGCCGAGTTTTGATGAGCTGATCTCTCGTTCAATCCCTGCGTTTCTTTGGAATCGAATCTCACCTATATGGTCGCTGTGTATGGAACGGTTTTCGCTCATATTGCGTGAGCTCGAACCTGCTCCGAAGAAGCGTTGAACTCTCACTGACAGACGATGCATCCGATCGGCGCCCACGGCCCACGGCGCATTCGATGTGTTTGATGTTTGACAGAAACGCAGATGACGGAAGTGACGGGAGCAAGCATCGATTAGCCCGCGGAAATTTATACGCAGACTCCACTGATACCCAGGGGCGTGCACAGGATTTTTTTGGGGGTCCAGACGACCAAAAATGATGACGCGCCTTCTCGGGGTCCATACTTCAGCATTGAAACCGGAGAATTTTGGTTGCCCCCCCCCTGTGCGCGCCTCTGCTGATACCCCAAGCTAGCGCTATCGTTGTTATTTCCTCCACATCTCACAGTTGATGAGGGAGCGCCAAAGGCACGTGACGGAGAGATCAGGACCTTTTCCACCACAAATATCGTTTTTAATTCAAAAAGAGATCCCAATGCCGAATTCGGTGGAATATACACGATCTGTGAGCCGGTGGACAGAAAATGCGGCCAGACATGGGCAGCAACCAATCTGTCGGGGAACGACGTCTCGAGTTTCCTCTTGGTGCGGGTGAAATGCGACATCGTCCGTTCACGATGCTCCCAAGGTGAGCGAAAGAGCTCGAATCTCTTTCGTCAACTCCTGGATCGATTTTGGTTCCTCCAAAAGAGCTTTCAGAATGAAACGGCAGCTTTGTATTGGGATAAGCGAGACGACCTGCAATGGAACCACATTTAATCACAGCACACGGATGGATAACTGCGGACCGAGAGATATTTCCTTCTGATTGGCTTCCATGATTGTATCGATTAAAACTCAGATCGAACCGGACAGGCTTCCCCTTGGATCAGGAGTGAGCTCTTGTGAGGGAAAAGTTTCTGGAGAAGAGGCAAATGTTCAGGTACTTCGTTGGAGAGGAATTTGACTCCGCGAACATCAACACCCTGTTGCTTCAGTCTGAAGAGGACATCGTCTTCACTGAGTCCAATCATGCACGCCACGGAGCCGGTCGGGACCAGGACGTCGCCGTCAAGTTCAACCGTGATGAAAGTCCCTGAAACACATGAACGTCGAGTTCCGACCCTGGGATCAAGATACAGATGGTCGAAATCCGATATTGAGAGAGTCATAAACGATGATATCGTCGAGATGATCTAGCAAGGCGAACACCAATTTACCGAACGCAGTTTTCCAGACTCTGACAGGGTTCAAGCTGAGCTTCGATGGGCGGAAGGTGGAGCTACTCGGAACCCAAGTGCCTATTTCTCTCGTTGAGCTCTGGCTCGAAGTTTGAGTTTCAGCCCGAGTATTGAGATTGCTATTCGGAATGGTACCCGTCACAGTCTTCTCTACAGGGTACAGCTTGTGCTCTCCATCAGATATCTGTTCGAGGCGGAAAACATCTGGCAAATCCTTGAACATTGAGAGATGTCCTGGATATCCATAGAGTTGGTAAGATAAGGGCGACCCCGACTTTTGGTAGAAGACGTCAACGAAGTCTCTCGCTGTTATCCCCAGAGGATACATATCGATGATCCGACGCAAAAATACTCTAAAAGGAAGAGGGACCTCTTTCTTCTTGGCCCATCTCGGAGTGAAAATGTTCGTCGTGATTGTCGGCGAGGCGGCGGCTTGGCTAATGTGGGAACGATTGGCGACGTTGACCTCTACTGCTGGCGCGTCATCTTTGTAGTGAACGATGCAACCCTTGTCGTACTTGACTAGGTTCAATTCGGGGAAGTTGTCCCGCAGAAAATCTTCGGCGTTGCTGTACCCATAACGCTCGAAAGGAACTTCTCTGCCATTTTCTATCCGATAGGCCCGCATCAAAACCTGCGGACAGAATGACTTAAGACGGTGAAGATCCGGATGAATGAACGACGACCGGAATCCCCATCATCAATGGAGCCTCGAACAACGGAAGTTCTCGAATCCCGAGAGAAGTAACGCGCAGAAATGATTTCGACACCATTTCCAGCTGTGAAATGAGCGTCATCGAGACTGAGAAGAGACTCACGCTGAGATGGACGGGCGGACAACAGTTTTTCATAGTCTCCCGAAGATTCTCACTGCATTCCTTCAGGTCCTCCATTCTCGTCAATTGCGGAGAAGTCGCGGGATGCGATTGCAGCAAAAACTCAGCGAGTCGTAGGCGATCGAAGATTCGCTCACTCCGATCTGAGTGGGAACTTCTACAGATAGTTTGTGCTCATGCAACGTCTGCGTGTCGTGCCACCGATTTGTTTTCGAACAAAGTTCTCCTCTTTTCGACTTCCATGCATCGGATTCCCGCCGATTCTGCCGATCGAACGGGAGGCGAGGGTCGACGGAACGGACCGATGAACGCATTCTCCGATTCTTTTGCCGGAAGAGGATCACTAACTCGAGGATATTCGACACCTGGAGAATGAGTCACCAATCGTAGAGAAAAGCGCGCTGGAAAGTCGATCCGGGATCCCTTACAGCCAGACCGTCTCCTGAAAGGATAGTTCTGATCTCAGCTGTACGAGGTGACGCCTTCTGCATTCACTTTTCTCCGAGATGTGTTCCTAATCGAGTCGAGCGCCCTCATGGATCTCTCAGCGTAATGAGGGGGGGATACGATAGCCAAACGGATACCCTCCGTTTGGGAGAGATTTTCCCTATACGCGTGATGATTTGACGGATTTGAGCCTCCTCCAATCCGGCGGCAACGGTCTTCGTAAGAAGTGGCGAAACGAATCTAACGCCGACATAGATCGGGTCACGGAGACAGCGGATGCCGGAAACTCCCGCGCCCCTACCGACTTCCTGCAATGATCAATTATGAGCGACGAAATTATCCATGTCGTTATATTGCTCGGATATTCTGATGCGAACGATGCTCATCTCATGAGAGGTCTAGGGATTAGATCTCTGATTGGAACTCAATTTAGATCCCCAGTCCAAGCTGGGCTGCAAGATCGCGGCAAGAATGATGCCAACTCCCCACCCCCTCCCCATCCCAGCCCTGAGGTATTTCGGCAAAGCATGAGTCTTCTCTTCTAATCGAAGTCTGCTACTCGTCAATCCTCGATGACGTCATTCCCCGCGCAACGAGTCATATGATGGAATTTCCAAGGTCGAGACTTTCGATTCCGGCTCCCATTGTTGCCGCTGTTGTTGTATTCTTACGCTCCACTTTATCAATTCGTTCGTTTCTCTAGTCGTAAATATCTTCGCCCCCCACTCGAGGCCCTTATCTACCGACCAATCTCTATCGGGAAGTCGGTCATCAGCCTCGGACTCGGATTAAATACCCCTTTTGGCCTTCGATTGGGTAACCTCGAGGGACCGTCTCTAGCTATCTTCCATAGCTCCCGTGGTGGACGGGCACACGGGTCGCATCGTTTTTCTCTCCACCTCAACGCTCGATGCCGCAGAATTTAAAGAGAGCATGTTCGATTCCGCCTGTGAAGTGTTGGGACACCGCGGTGGAGGGCAAGCGCAGAACCGTCGCGGAACTTCTTCTGCTATTCGCCGTCACCAAGCATTCTCTTAGCAAGTCTGGAACGATGGATCTCTGCTTTGGATTCCTCGATGCACATAGCTTATGACATGACCTACGGAACGGAGCGACGTCTTCCTATCTGTCCGGAGCTTCCGGGCTCTGTGGAACGGAGTTTCTTGCGTAGTTCGTACTAACCTCGACATTCAGACGGATTCGTCGAGGGGACCTTGCAGTCAACGCGGTGGGAGCAAAAAAATATTCCCGCCTGACATCAAGTAATTCGGAATGAAGGTCATCTCAGCCGTCCTCGGATGCTTATGGTAATTAGCATGAGAAAAAATCCTAATTCCAGATTCAATTGATTGATTACGAGTTTGATTGGAGCTTACTTAAATACTTCTTCGCGACACTCACTGCTCTGATCACAGTCCGGTACAGAGTTGTGACGATGTTCCTGACGTTGAGCTCTCTCGCGCTTTTCGGCCTTCTACTAGGATCCGATGCGTCCCCCGCTCATATAATGGACTCGATTGAGCCTGAGAAGGTTCGTTCTTGCATGTGCCCTTCTCCCATTTGTAGAGAATCTGGTCAGAGTTTCCGGCGATCTCGTTCTTGGTTTCTCCAAGGATAAGTCAGCCCTCTTCGACTTCCCTTGGTTTCTCCTGGATTGCAGTTCCTGGGTAAATGGTGGGTCGACAGTTTTTCACACGCTATCTATGGCGATGCGGACCGATGCGCCCATGTCGTGTTGAGCAAGCACGGGGACGAGTGGAAAGTGGCTGCGCAATATATCGCAGACGAGTGAGTTCCCATCGATATCAGTCTGAGCATTTAAGAGGAGGCCAACGGATCGGAACTTGAGAACTCTTGCCCTTTCCAGCGGAGAGTTAGTGCAAATGAGCGTCGACGTGAAAGAAGATAAACGACATCCTTCGAGGTTCTTCCTGGAGGTGGGGGGAGAGACCCTGATGGAGATCGCAGTCGTCGGCACAGACTACACGAATTGGGCTGTAATTTGGGCGAAGTCCGGCTCAGCGAGTGAGTGTTGAGGATTGAAATGGCTGGCGGAGGAAATCATCCGCCAATCCGCGCATCGTCCCCCAACTGCGTCACATCGCGTCTTTCGATTTGCGAGAGTACACTATCACTTTATGTTCTCGTTCCAGCGTCTTATAATGTGATAACTCGCACACCAAACATGGAGGACAAGTTCCACGATCCTATCCAAGCTGTACTGGACAAAGCCAACTTGAAGAAAGTCAACTTCCACAAAGTTCCAAACGAGGACTGCTCGAAGAAGGACACCATATAAGAAGGTCTCTGTACCCAACGTACTCATACTCTATCCAAACATACTCTACCAAGTCGTCTATACATTTACCTGATACCATTGCTCCGAATCCGAACGTACTGAGAGGCGGGGAACCCTGGTGCGAATACTTACAGCCCTGGACAATGTCGATGACCCAGAGGCCAATGCAGGCAACCGTCGATAGTTCTGATATCACTCCTACCTAACGTTCTGTGTGGATCGCTCTGACCGCGGCGACGCGACGCATCATTTATTGGAGGACGCTGTATCGTCGATGTCGTGCACCTCAATATATCCCTCCAAATCGATGTATCGAACTTCATTGCACCAGAAAGCGAAGTGACTCTCCAATAAAGACGAACTGCATGGCGAATATGGGTAATCGCTCCGGATTCGGCTTCGATCCTGGTTCGATGGATCGGGAGCGACAGGTCGCCTAACCGTAGAACTCTGAAGTCGAGTCGTCCGATGTTTGGGATAGGTCCCCACTGCATCAGTCGCTCTCTCTGTGGCCCCATCCAGAAAATACCGGCTAGGTGAGCGTTCCGCGTTTTCGAAAAGTGAAGATCGGGGCTGTTGACGACATACACCGATGAGGGATCTGGATGAAGAGTAAGCTCAAGACGGAGGGGGATCTCGGATCACACAGCAAGCTCTTGGCTTCACGTCGCTTTTCGAGAGCAGAATCAGGAGAATCTTTCCGAGCTGCTTTCTTGGATTCACCGAATCGTCTGATTGCTCCCCCTCGAACCGTGGTTTCCGACGGGGTCGACGATATGACTTCAATCATCGACAACAGCCCGGGCAGAACATGAGCCCAAATATCGCGTATGGGTCCCGCAGCTCCCTGGAACGCTACCACTCGGTACTGACCCATACGTATCTCATTAGGAAGGAGCTGACCCAGCCTCCGGAGCGGACATCGTGATCGATTTCAGAATGGATCGCCGTCGAAAATTACCCAGGTACTTGGATAGAATCAATCGTAGGATAGTTGGAATAAGGACCAGCTTTTCAGGCGTCAGTCAACCGCGGGTCCTGGTCGTGTGTATTCCCGAGGTTGTGGGAAGCCTCACCCAAGCCTGATATCTATGGAATCGCCGAACCGATGACGCGTGACCATTTCGAACGAAAAATTCGAGCCGACACGATTCGCGAGGAAGGGACACATCGAGAACCGCAAATGTCCATTCTGTTCCCCAAACCGGGAAATGCAGCATCCTGAAGAATGACTTCACGGGCTGTATTATTCGCTAGAAAAGTTGAGAATTCGGTATATTGCTAGAATGATCACAAAGACAGTCGATGAGGGATCGTGGGAAGAGCAAGACAGCGGATCTGCTCTCAGACAGGAGGAAGGAATTTCGACTGCACAGAAGACTCTGAGCCATGTGTAGCTTTCGGATCGGTGTCCCCATCTTTTGTGCAAACTTCGAATATCGGCATTCTCCTCGCCCTTATTCCCCCTCGGGCTCTATGAGCTCTGTCATCGATCCGTCTTCGTGTCGGAAGGCTAGTCGAGAAGGGGCAGTCGCGGAGATCCGAATATTGACGCCAATCTTCTTTCAAGAAACTTGCTTCGGATGAAATCCTAAGCTCCGAGGGGATCCCGTTGCCTGCGTGGCCAATAAGCTGCCCACACGGAACTCAATGAGTCATTGAGACGGAGGCACGAATATCGGATTCCCGACGAAGTCATTTCAGAAACTTCTTCCATCGATATCACCGAGAACTGCGCCCCTCCCGCTTCGGAAGTGCCTCGGCTTCCATCGTATTCCCTAGAGCGGCGAGCAGAACTTTGATTCAAAGGATCAGGTTTTCTCGAGTCTCGACTTCTGGAATCTGAAGAAGCGCCCGCTATCCTCCCCATCTGGGCTGTCTTCCCTCCTGAATTGAACCCTCACTAGAATTTTTTAACTTCGCTGATTTCTCGGCTACCGATCTATGGAAAAAAACTTTGGAAAGTCGAGTGCCCCTTAGCGCCATGAGAAGTCTCATTACTCATTACTCATCGCAAGGATTCCCAAACAGCTCCTGTCCACGAGCGTCTCCCCCGCAATCCTATGTTCGAATCAATGTCACCTAGTTGAAATCTGTGAATCCACGGAATCGACGATGAGTGGAGCGAGTAAAGCCTTTCTGCTAGAGAATATGGATCGGATGAGTTGCTTAGTGACTGGGCGGGGGAGTTCACGCAAATGAGAGTCGCCATTTATTGCTGCGGTAAATTTACAGACGTATTGCAACTTCGGAATATCCAGAACTTCAAAGGTTCGCGGCCTCGGCACTTCTTTGCACCGCCAGGCACTTGGACGATATCTATTGCTAAACTAAATTATTAATGTATTTATGCATGAATAGACGTGAATATATTCAGTGGTGGAGTAATCATCGCAGATAAGGTGGGCTATCCCTCGTAAATTACGTATGTGACGCCATCTCACAAGAATACAGCATGGCAATTTTTGTCAATTGTTCGCTGCGCCGCGAGACAAACGACTCCATCAACGCCGGATCAAAATTTTCGCCGCGAGGATTTCCAATCTTCAAACAATCTCCCGAAGTAGTCTTCGGCAGATCGAGATAAGTTTTACTTCGAATATTGCCTGCCCTGATCACACGATCGTCGTTAGTCGAGCTTACAGCCGCGGTGTACGGGATCACAGGTGACGTGCTTTTGCATGAGCCTTGGTTCTTCTGCAATGGAGCCAAGACACGGTTCTGAGACAATCTACCGCTGGTGAAGGATCGAACTTCGGTATGTCAAATCGATGACGTGACGTTGAGGAAATCGGTGAAGAATCCTTAATGATGTCTAAGCGTTCCGATACTACTACCTGAACAAGATTTATATCGTAAGAAGGTGGGGTTCATGTCCGCGTTGTCCTATACTTTGGTGACGCGTGGCGAACACTTGGCGAAGTGCATCGGTACGCCACCGGGCTGACCGATCAATAGTTGTGCAGATAACTCCTCGTCTTCGGAAGAATGCCGTGTGGTTGACGACGATAGGGACAGCGACGAAGATCGAATGTATTCGCTGTCCGACTGAGGTGTGGACGCCGAGTAGCTGCCGGTCGAACCTTGGCGTTTGCCACCTCTGGAAAAAAGCGTCGGAATCGAAACTTTCACGAGGGCAAACGGTGGGGCGCTGAGCAGCTTTTAATAGCGAGCGGTGAAGTTCGCGAAGTGTACTGTACCTCGAAAATGCAGAATTAGGAAGACTCCAGAAGGACGGTGGTGGCGAGCTATACGGAGGATCGAAAATGAACGAGAAGCACGGCTCAGTCGGAGGGGAACCGGTGTCTGTCAACAGCGAGTCGAAGAACGCCGGATCGCGCAATTCTGTGAGAAGAAGCAAATTGTTGAAATCAGCGAAGCTCTGAAGTAATTGATTTCCGATCGAGTATGCCCTATCTTCGTACCGAGATCCGGCGACGACGGTCGGTTCACATCTCTTTCCAGACTGGGTTGCTCTTCCAGGGCTCTGAGCGACGAGGCTGACTTCGAAGAGCTCCGACGCTTGTTTCCAAGCATTTTCCTTTTGTTTTTTCGGGGAGTTTCATTCAATGAAGCCTCTGACATCATCAATTCAAAATCTGAAGCGTCCGAGTCAGAGGCTCCGTCTTCTTCCTCGAAGGATCTGCAACCAAAGAGCAAATTGAATATCACAATTCTTATCAAAGTTACTTGGGACTAAGCCATCGGGCGGACCTGAAGGGAGCCGAACTTCCTGCAGCCTAACCAATGGAAGTCCTGCTCGACCTCTCCACGCCATCACAGAGAGCTCGAATGAAACGCTTTGCCTTAACGGCGAGCGATCTCCTTCGACGACGAATTGGACTTTTACATTCAGGGAGTTCTTTACAGGAGAGCTCGAGGGCGTCGAACATCGGACAATTGATTTTTCCCAATCAATTAATGGGACAATCAACTTTCCCCAGCATCCGGTGAGCTATTCCGAGATCGTAGGAGGATGCGAATCAGGTTCGCCCTGCGATGCTCCCAACTTCGCATCGGGATTGATCTCCCCTCCACCTCCCCAAATTATCTCATGGCCCGTGCACCTCCTCTATTAGTGCGGTGGCCGACTACATGTTTCATTGGGCTCGAAGAACTCACCTATTCTGCGCGGCAGCTAGAGCCAAACTATTCTCCTTATGTTGTTTCGCCTGCAGCAAGTTGTTCTGAAGTATCTCCAGCGAGTGGAGATCACGAACACCCTCGATCTGGAAGTGAAAGAAAGATGGGAACTTGAGATTCGCGATTTTACTCGTTAAGGACTCGAAATATTCCTTCCTCCAGACTGCCTTCTGAGCGCCTTGGGCGCTAGCCCAGTATGACGCTACCGGCATCCGTTGTCGCTCTGGTTGTGTACATGTACGTTGCGAATATGGGACGAGAAGCTTTCCCCAAAACAAAAGAATCCGCTAGTTCGGGGAGGAAATTTCCCGAGCCTGAGGCGCTCAGAAGCAGTATCTCCTGTAGAATTTAATGGCGTAATTGCATCATTCCGATTCCCTTGAGAATTATTTAGCCGACACAATCAATGGAATTGATGTCACACAGCTCCACGTCCCTGTTATGATGTCAACAAACGGCCTCGGGATGAGGAAACGAATAGAAATGCTCGCCAGCCGGGAAACGAGCGGGCCCACCGATTGAGTCTGGTCCTCGAGGGTTGTTCGAGAGAACTCGAGTATCTCATGAATTCACATCAAGCAAACAAATAAGAATCGTGACGCGGATTGCGATCAGAGACAATTGGTACTCTCTTCGAGTGCACGGTATTTTTCGGACGTCTTGGCTTGCTCCGCACCGATGCCTCTTGAACCTCTAATTTTCTCAGAGGAGTTCATATAATCATGGCCACCAAGCAGGACATGGGGAGTGTTAATGCGTCATGGGTGAATTCGCCTCAATATTCTCGAGATCCTCACCCATCGGTCTAGGAAACTCATCTAGAGACAGAGGGGACGATATTTCAGGAAGAGGCAGAAACCTCGAGAAGGAATTGATTTTACTCCGTGTATTGCAGTTCCACGCTTCTCGAGACAGAGACACCAACCGGCGTACGCCGCTCTCTGCTTGGATCGCGATGGTGATCTCCCTGATACGACATCGTCGAAAACCATATTATCACCCATGATGTTTTCTTGAAGCGGCTTTACATACAGTGATTCGATCTTTGTCAACATAGCAGCGATTCCGCCGATGAGATCCGCGGAATTCCGCTCCGTAATTTGACGCCGACGATTCCCATCGAATATCACTCTAATTCAGCCCGTAGGCGTGACTACAGTAATCTTTCCATATCTGCAATTTCATCTGTAGTCTCTGCGGCCGCCGACGGCTGCTCGTTTGGGATACGGCCATTTTTGATTGGATCCGGCTCTCAACCTGGAGCGAACTCGGCCTACACAATGCGATTCGACGCCGTTCATTGCATTTTCATCGATGAAATTCATGACTTGATCTACAAGCATTCCGATAATCAGCCGCCCTTGACAATGACTCAAAGCATCGGAAAAACAAACTGCATAGCGAAGTAGGAACATCACGCAATAAATAAAAAAACTTGCATATTGTTTCGTTGAGCTCAACATTTTCGCGGCACCTTACTTACGTGTTGCCTTTGTGCAAGCGCAGGAATACTACAGGCCTTATCAGTAGGCAATTCGATTCGATTGTTGTCTGCCCAGTCACGGTGTTTCTCTGCCAGCGCCACCATAGGCGCACACGATTATCACGCTATTCTATGCAGAGACGTCGTTTCCCACATCGGGGAGTACGAATCATTGAGCTGGGATCATGTTCGGATTCCGAGCATTAGCGGGGACGAAACTTAGCTTCGGGACAGCGCCTCGGACAGCTTCGTTCGGGAAAGGGTTTCGAGGGCTATCTTCCGTTTAATCCCCAAACGTAGTGCCACTGGTTGGCGGAGCAACCCCTGGATTAAGAATATATGATCGGATTCCCAATCTATCCCTCATGATCTTATTGACAGTATGTCAAGACCGCGGAATCTATCCAGACGCTGAAACGATTAGACCATCTGCGGGCTCGACGTCAGAGGAATGATGCACCCTCTCTGGCCGAATTCAGGAACAGATGTTTCAGTCAGCATCAAGGAAAGCTGGACGTATCGCTGCCTAGGCGAGGCGGCGCCACGTCTATAACACTGATCGTGACGGATGTGTCACGGTTTCGGTTTGACAAGTGAGCCAAGGATTGCTGCTCACAGTCGGGAGTGCAATGGCACTTCCTACCCTTCGGGCTCCATTGATTCGCCTCCGTCGTGACTTCATTTCATTTTCTCCAGACTGATGTGCATTAGCAGACAGATAGAGTCGTTCTACTCCGAGCGAACGAGAAAATGGGGTGACTCTGGGTAATGATCCAAAGAAAAGTGAAACCATCCAGAAGAAGAGAAAAGGTCACCACAACTGAGGAAGTTTGCTTCTCATCAAAACATGTCGAAGACGCGTGGATGGGTCCCTAACCAGATGTTGACGTCCCGACATCTGGAACTAAATAGTCCAGCCTCGGGCATCCCTCCTTCGCTCGAAGGTGAACCGTGAATCCTTCTATAATATTTGCGACGACATTTCGCGCGAGAACAGAACGAAATCGTTCTCCTCCTCGGGGAATCATTCTGACTTCCGACTCCCCCGAGCTCAAGAACCTCCCTCTGACTTTTAGTGATCCCACTACGCTTCACCTAAATTTTCTTTGCTCGGTATCTCTCCTGAAAGCACGAGCAGTCTCCCTCTGGGCTCCCACGATTACGCTCGAACTTCTTCAGGAGGGAAGCGGGGGGGGGTCCCGCAAGCGGTCGATGGTCGACGTCGAGCTCCGAGATTGGGTCACTCCAAACGGTCACTTTTTACCGCCAGAAACTCACATTATTCAAAGTCGTAACCCTAGGCAGCGCTGTCAGTGCTTGTCACTCAAGGCGGCTAATCTCCGCAGAACTTTAAGCTGCAGCAGTAGAAGAAATAGCACGAGGGCACAAGCGAGAACGAGAAATGTTCTTGAGAGTACTTTCGAGTTTATGTCGAGCACGGAGGAGCGCACTCAGTCCACACGTCAGTCACAGTTCGTCCATATTTTCTCCAGAGCGATACGGAAATGTGCTTGTAGGCCACTCAATGTATGGGCGCACAATCGCCGTAGGCGAGCCTTCCAGGGGCGCCGCTAACCCGACGAACTGACTGAAGGACGGGCGGACCGACCAACACGAGGCTCCGTCTACTCACCACGGAACACCCTAGCCCTAAGAGCTGTCCACAAATCTTATACCGCTTGAGCTTTGATGAATCACTGATACTGTTCAGCTTTCTGCTGAGGTGTCCCAGCAAATGCTCAAGAAATTTTACGCTGGAACCGGATCGCTATTTCACGTATCGAGTCTCCGAGAATTCCGACGGAACTGAGACGCGTGTGAAACTCCTACGTCATGATCAATATGATCATAGCCGACGTAATCTCGGTAGGTAGGGAGCGAGTGATTATGACGTAAACTATGCTGACGATCGTGACCGTCGCAGCCGATAAACCGGAACGTCATCATCTAGCGTAAACACTGGGCTCCCCTGTTGAGGAGGGAGTCCCTAATGTGAGGCTTCCATCAGAGCACGAGCGCGGGATGATGTGTTCTCAAAGAATGGAAACAAGATAGAGCAACTAGCGCGGGTTTTTCCGATCTTCTGTATCATTCGATCCTCGCATCGATATCCGTCTGTATTTATCAGGCATTCCGATGGAAAGGGGAAGCATTCGACAACAATGGCGCATCTCAGAACTTTCATCGAAGCCTTTACACAATTTTCGTCTCAGACGACTTCATCGGAAACAAAGTCTCTCTCGATACTACTCATCCATTGTCTCGTCTCAGCGTTGAACGTACGCAACGGAACGGTCGTGCAGAAAAACTTCTGAACTTCGAGCGTTGGGAGGAACGTGGACGGACAGAAGATGTTCCCTCTGGACAAACGGGGAAACGTGCCGCGATATCTCCCGGATAGAAAGTAGCCCAAGAACAATGGGGGAGCTCTGTCCGAAAGCATCTAGTAGGGGCTGCGTCTTGGAGCGTCGTCTTGACCATTAGAGAAAAAGAAGCAATTCCTCTTTTTCCTCATGCTTTGTTGACATTTCTTCTCCGAGCTGAGAAGAACGGTGTTGGAATGCGAATCTTCTCTGCGGATCGGGACGTGGCGGGAACTCGAGCCGCTCCGCGAAACTGCGCTGTCAGGAAAGTTGAGTTTTGCGACGAGCCTTTGATGCGAAACGCGAAGCGCGCGGACTTCGGGCCGTCAGCTCTCTGGTCCCGACCCACCCTGAGTTGAGTGAGACTGTGAGGACTTTTCACGATGAACGTCATCGGCGCCGACAATAATTGAGACTGATATACTTCAGAGCGGATGCGTTCAGCGGGTGAGCTCAGAAAAGTCAAGTTCATGCGGACAAAAGGACTTTCGAGTCTTTTGAACGGTGGATATCACCGAATGGGAGGAAAATCAGTCTTTCAACCAGAAGAAGAATGTGCTTGGGATAATTATTGTGCGCTTCGTTCTGCCTCTTCTTGGAATGGGTGAACTCTTTGAAAAGCAAGCACCAATTGTGACATGAGCTCAACTTGAAATGATAGCTTTTCGAAGCATGGCCCACTGACGCAACACTCCGAATAGTCATGCTTCCCGACGAGAGGGTTAAGGTCGATGTCCAATGTAAGCATTGACCCGCCAGCGCTCCGAGCCGTAAACTTCATCGAAGAGGAGTAATCTCCTCATGGCTTCGACATGAAGTGGTGTAGAGGGTTCCCGCTTCTCCGGGATGACACCGAGAGCCCGTGATCGGCGAAACGAACGGAGAGACGAGCCCGTTATGAGGTTCGCAACGACTTCGAGCTGGGAGATACGTTTTGATGGAGAAGCAAACGGAACCCCAAGCCGGAATGGGCAAACCATTGATCGAACGGAAGGCGTGGCCATTTGTTGAAAACTTTATCCGTGCCCTTCGTTGGATTTCATGTATTGACTCGTATGGGAACGTCGCTGCAACGGCGGGGAAGATTCCCGAAATATTTTAGGAGCCGCCGCGGACGCCTTCCAGACCGGTGTTATGGTCCGGGCTTGTCGCGTGTTTGCGATGCCAATGTGAATTCTCCTCAAGCTGCGGAGCCTCGCTACGCGAGTTCCGCATTGTTCTCTGTGAGTCCCTCCGTTCAGCCCGATCCAGTACAGTCGATGAGGATCCCGGATCACAGGGCCGTGGCGAATTTCTCCACAACAGGGAAGGCTCCCGATTCCGGCTCTGCGCGAACACATATCGGAATACAACGACATGTCGGAATCTCCCCCGGACTGAGCCTCAGATATGGGGCTGTGACGCAGCTGCGATGGATCTACACCAGTGCGCCGTATCCAGGACGCGGCGCCATAGACTCAATGC